GGCAACCCTAGCTGATGATAAGGTCACAATATCTGCTGCTGAATATGCTCAATTAAAATCTCTCACACCACCCGTGAGTGCTCCTGCTGCTACAGGTAATCAGGCTACTGCTCTTGTCTCTTCTTCCTCCAAATGGATCATAGATTCTGGTGCTACTGACCACATGACAGGTAACCGCCATCTCTTCTTCACTTATAATTCTTACGCCAATCCTTCAACTATCACTATTGCCAATGGCTCCCATTCCCGGGTCCTTGGATTAGGCACTGTTCAACCTACCCCCTCCATTCATTTGTCATCTGTGCTAGATGTACCTAATCTTGCATTTAATCTGCTTTCCCCTAATAAACTTACTCGTCAATTAAACTGTTGGGTCTCACTCTTTCCTGATTATTGCTTGATACAGGATCTTTTGACGAAGAAGATTATTGGTAGGGGCTATGAATCTGGTGGACATTATTTTCTTGATGAGCAAGGGCTACGAAAAAGTGTTATGAATAAGTGACTTTGAAAAACAAATGAGTATTTTGGATAGTTAATAATATGGAAGCATTATTTTTGTGTTTGAGGTAGTTGCCTTAGATGAAAGATTTTTTTATTTATTTGATGCTTGAGTGACCATTTTGAGTAGTATTTAGATATAAAAGCATTAATATTAGTGTTAATTTTGGATATCAACTATACCTGAAACTTGCCTAAGCATTATTTTGGATGATCATTGAGCTAATTGTTAGATGTTTTCTTCTTCTTTGGTTTTCTCAAAAGCTTATTGCTTGCCTTGGTATCTCAAAAACAAAAAAAAGTTTTATGATTGATAGTGATAGATCATGATAAATTTAATAAAGTTACTACACATTTTATGAACCTAAAAAAAAAAAAAAGAGACATACACTGACTTAAAAGATTTGTGAATTTTCATGATAAATTATTTTTATTTTCATTCTTCTTTTAAAGGATGACTTTGTAAGTAAAAAAAAAAATTTGTGTACATTATCAGCATATTCTGTTTCCTTTGTATGCATGTATGAGTAGTTAATGTATTGTTGAAAGCAGGTTAATTTGAGGTTTTGCTAATCTTAGACTTAAGTGTATTGTTTCCATCAATTAACATGACAATAGATATGTAAAATCAATAATTCAAGGCATATTGTCTGTAATTTTATAGTCCTACATCATAATTGTAATTTTTTTTTAAAAAAAAAACAACTTCGATATTAGGTGATGAGTGAAATATACAGGTATGAATGAATTGATTCCTTTAATGATAAATATCATGTTAGAAGTTAGAGACCAGAGACAATAAAATAAAATAACATATGTTGATGGCTCTTAAGATAATGTTAAGTTATATTTCTTAAAAATATGTGTCTATATCTTATAAACTTAGTAGTAATTCTACACACATCTTATATGTTTAAAGCATTATGAGAATTTACCAAATATTGGAATCAAATAAGGATTTTCAATCCTTTGGGATGCCTTGGAAAAAAAATGGTAACCCAGAAAATTTCTGTAAGATTGAAAGGAAAAATATCCTTAGAAATAAAATTATTTAATTATTTTTCTATGTATGATCTCTGTCCTTCAAAGAATCTTTAATTGGGAAGGTTATAAGGAATCATTTTTGGATACTTAATAACAAAGGTATAGAGAGAGAGAGAGACAGAGAGAGATGATAGAGAACCATAATGAGTACAAGGTGATTATAGTTTTTTTTTTTATTTAAAACGGAGAAGAGGAAAAAAAAAATATGTTTCATGGGTTCTCTTTATAAAAACTATTTTTCTATTCACTTCGTGTTCCTAAATGGTGAGGTACTCTTTTGTCTAGAAAAAATATCCTATTACCTAATTGGGAGTTAGTTATTGATTTTGACTTTCATAAAATATTTTAACAAATGAATTGGTAGTTGTTTTTATTCCTTTAATAACCTTAGTGAAAGTTGAATTGGAAGAAAATTTTATAGTAATAACTACATGCTTCTTATAATTTTTTTTTTTGGAATAGTAATATAGAGTATTAAAGTGAAATACTTGGATTAAAGGATAAGGATTATTGAAGACCGTAGTGAACGACTATGATTGAGTGTGAGTGGTAGCTTCCACAAAATATTGATATGAGTTTATAGATTAACTCTTGAACTAGAAAAAGTTATGAAGAAAGAATTTTAGCATTTGGATAAATACTTTCTTCCTTGTTCCTCACTGACAATGAGTATGTGTAAGGCTAAGTTACAATATCTAATGGTAATAACCTTGGTTGTTATAAACTATTATGTTAAGTGCAGGGGATAAAAAGGGAAAAAAAACACACAAAGAGAGAGAGACAGTATTATTTAGGAAGGAATATTTACACCTAGATGTTTATGACTTTTGCCTTTTTGTGTGTGGATGTGAAACTTTTCTCTTTGCATGAAATTAATATAAATAAGTTGAAAAAGGTAAAGTAATTTGGTTGAGATTTTTGGCAGATTAGTTGAGAATAGCGCATTGAAATTGTGATTTCTAAGTCGTGGAATTAATATATATGCATATAACAAATACATATGATCATGTCAAATGTGAAAAATTGGACAAGATTATGTATGATAAAGCTTGGGGGGGAAACAGAGAGAGATTGAGAATGGCATGACAAGCTTATTTGGGAGCTAAATTTTAGGGACAAAATTTCTTTTTGGAGGGAAGAATTGTAACATCCTAATTTTAATCTCTAAGACTTAAGTAAATTTGTGAGTAAATGTTTGTTGACATCACTTTAATAGTGGTTAATTATATATATAAACAATTAAAATATTTATGATTATATGTGTGTGTGTGTATATATAACTATTTATATATGAACTAATAAATAAAACAAAAAGGTTAAGAAGTCCCACATCGACTAAATGATATGAAGATGAGACTCTATGAGCCTATAAATAGGTGGTAGTAGGGAAGAATTAAGAATGAGTTAAATATTTTCGCACAAAACTAAGACTATCTCAGTAAAGTGCCATGTACAAGTCCGTAAACCGTTGGATCGGGCCAAAATTTGGTCTTGTAGTCCAAGACATCTATTTCGTCAATTTCACCGGTTGGATTAGTGGTTTAATATCTGAGGTATGAGTTACTAGATATGCATTAAACTCTTTATTTTCAGATTTTATGGATAGGATACTGAATAGTAAAGTATCATTTTTAAATTTGTTCACCGTTAGATCAAGCCAAAATTTGGAGAACAGACTCAAGACATATAATATTTTAATTTCAAAGGTTAGATTAATAATTAAACATCTGTAGTGAGAATAATTTAACTTGTATTAAATATGTTTTTCTAAGTTTTCGAAAATAGAACGTAGGCTATAAGTTGAAGGTTTTGTACTTTGGTTATGAATAAATTATGATGACATGATTTATGAATTTAAAGATAATATAAGCTGAAGAAACTTAAGAATTGAATCTAAAGCATAGTATTCATGTTCTTACTCCAGATCTTAGAAAAATTGTACGAGCTAGAATTCTAAGTAACAATTCGGAAACCTTAAAGAGGGAGTTATGGGTTAAAATTTGACAGGTAGCTTACCCAAAAGATACTGTAGTAACGTATATTTTCTGTTTGTAGATATGATAATTGGTTTGACGATCCCAAGTTCATGGTCTTAATCTTTAACTTGTAAGCACTTGTTGGACACCAGGTAACGTGAATTCTTACTTGTTTTCTTCTATCGGTTCCTCTAAGAGGAGTTTTTAATTAAATTGAACCCTTTTAAGATAGGCTTGAATAATATGGAATAGGAAAGCTGTTTTGAAACTATCAGAAAACTTTATAGACATTTGGAAGTTGCTTGATGGGAGTGATTTGTGAAAAATAAATGAATTGCTACAACTTTAGGACAGGATAGGAGCCTGATGAGTGATTTTTGGATGAAATTGTGGACTTGGAATGTACTGTGTAGTCTGTTGTGGCGAAAGGTTATTTGTTGACCAAGGCGATTTATCCAAGTTGCTATTTTATTTGATTATGTTTTATATGTTAGCATGAGCTTCTGGAATGATATGTTTATGCCCTTGATTATCTAAGAATGCTATTGCATGGTATGATATTAAGTATCTTATATGGTTAATGTATGTTTTGAATCTCTTAAGATATATGTTCTTGAGATACCTGATGAGAATTTAGAATTGTCATGACTGTGATTAATTCGTTTAATGTTCGGGAAGAGGTGTGGTGATGGGTTTGATATACACATATTACCACGTGGTTTGCCTCCATAGCGTGCACTATGGTTGGCCTATTAGAGAGGGCAGTATCCCCTCATTTGCGACACTCCAGGAGTATCACGGGGCAGTATCTCCCGAGGGCAGCATCCTCGTCAAGATACTAGGCAGTAAACCCATTGGGGCAGAATCCCCTTTTTCTGGAGGAACCCATGGCCCGTGTGTGCTCTGCCGACTTTGGCCGGTCCGCATCACACGCGTGGGAAGCTCGTTAGAGTCATCAGTCACATGAGTAAGACTTAGCCCATGGGTTCAAGTCGGCGGGTATAAGAAGGATATAAGGCAGGAATCGAATGATGAATAAGGATAATAAATGATGAGTAAAGCAAGCACATATGTTGATATTTTCTTTTAGCTTATGTGTTTATGATATCTGGTATCTGTTATGTGATGGTAACATATTTAATGATTATCTTAACTGTTAGTCCCACTTGGCGCCTCTTAGGGGTGCTGGTAGGTAAGGTAGGTAAGAGTTTTCGTTACTGAGACGGTAGTCTCACTCCGTTACATCTACAATTTTCAGGTAAGCGTAACAGAGGAGCCACGGCGGGGAAGGAATCGGAGGTGTGAGGTCACCTTCATTGGTGATCACACCTCGAACACTGGTTATGTTTAATCATTAGTTATTTGCCACCTAGGATATCATTATGCATCTCTTTTTATATTATCAATGTTGAAACATTTATGACTCAAAGGGAGTAATATGCCGTGTATGTCGATGATATTATGATTACAGGGAGTAATATGTCGGGGATCTCTTCTCTTAAGTCCTTTCTTAATTCTCACTTTCAAACAAAAGATCTGGGCCCGTTAAAGTACTTTCTCGGAATTGAGGTCTTGAGAAATAAGAAAGGAATCTTATTGACTCAAAGGAAGTATGTTCTTGATCTGTTGAAGGAAACTGCAAAGTTAGGGGCTGCGCCAAACAGTTTTCCTATGATTTATAATTCACTCCTTGATGCTGATGGAAGCATACCATCTGAGAATCCCATTGATACTGCTAAGAGCAAGCCGTTTGAGAACCCGGAGAGGTATCGAAGATTGATTGGAAAACTGAATTATCTTACTGTGACCCGACCTGATATCACCTATCCAGTCAGTGTACTTAGCTAGTTTATGGTCTCGCCTACTATTAGACAGTGGGAAGCTTTAGAGCATGTGCTTCATTACTTGAATGGGTCTCCAAGTCGTGGGATATTATACAAAAATCATGGTCATACAGATATTGAGTGCTTTTGTGATGCTGATCATGGTGGTTCAAAGGCCACAAGAAGGTCTACTACAGGATATTGCGTCTTTGTGGGAGGAAATTTGGTGTCCTGGAGGAGCAAGAAGCAGAATATGGTGTCACGATCAAGTGCAGAGACAGAATATAGAGCTATGGCACAATCCGTGTGCGAGATAGTCTGGATACATCAATTATTGAAGGAGCTTGGTCTTAAAACCACGTTACCAGCAAAATTGTGGTGCGACAATAAAGCAGTCTTACACATAGCTTCTAATTCAGTGTTTCATGAACGCACAAAACACATTGAGATTGATTGTCATTTTGTTCGGGATAAGATCAAGGAAAAATTCATCTCAACAAGACATGTGAAATCTAGTGACCAATTGGGTGATCTCCTTACTAAAGCTTTGAATAGGGTTCGGGTTGACTATCTTTGTAACAAGTTGGGCATGATTGACATCTATGCTCCAACTTGAGGGGAGTGTAAATATATGAAAATATATATTGTAATTAATATAGGATCATATAGGATCAAATCAGATATGATAGATAGGATATTATCTCCTCATAATGAGCCATTAATGACTGAGGCTCCTCTCTTGTGTATAAATACCCCCTTTCTGATCATGAATATACAAGAAATATATTCCATATTATCCTTTGTCTAATAGTTAGAACCATCTGGGAATCCCATAGTTTATGAATATCACTTTTGCTCACGGAAACATCAAAAGTAGCTTCTATTTTCAATCTTTTGGCAGGTGGTGAAATGCCTTCCAAGTTGTCATGACCTCTCACAGTGGAATCCATCGTCAAGATGTTTGAAGATTCTGAACTACGACAATCATCACTTCTACATTCATCAAAATGTCTTAAAGCTATCCCTGCAGCTCGATTAGAACCATAAAGGCATGCTGAACTTGCTGAAAAAAATTGTTGACCTACATTCACAGTTGTTGAAGGAAGCTGAGATTGATTCAGTATTTTCTGCCCCTCCAGTTGGCTGCAAGGTTCATGTTTACTTGCAAAGCAGGGTCTTGACTTGGCAATATAAGCATTAGCACCCTGCTCATATGACGACTCAAAACGTCGGAAGTTTTGTTGACGATGCAAATTCTGGGGCTGATACTGCATTAAGTGATTGACAGTTGAATACTGATAGCAAGGGTTCTGGACAGTAAAATTATTGAAAGCTTGAGAAGTTCCCGTTCTCACAAATGGACAGATCATTAAATTTCCATGCATAGACAGTGGGGATTCTCTAATTGTAGTGGCAAAAGGCGAAGATTGATTTCCATCGTACTTGCTCCAATCCTTCTCCACTGCCATGGTAGTAATTCAAATGAGCAAACATGATTAAAAATAGGAAGATTTCATGCCAAAAAATGAAGAAGTCTGGGGGAAAAAAAAAGGAAATAAAAAGTAACCATAATACAATGATCAATAGTTAGAAAGAAATCATGTTAAGATTATTTAAGATGCCATGATCTCTCTGCTGATGCTGTAAATGGGAGAAAATAGGTTTGGAGCTTGAATTGAGATTGCTTGTTCCACCAGGAGCATTAAAGTTAGAGAACCCATCTGGATCAACGGATCTCAGAAATGATGAAAAGTCATTGTAAGGAAGAGTTCTCTCATTGCCAACAGAAGCATGAGACTGCCTCCCGTTGGAAAATTCATATTTATTAGTATTGTCCACATTGGCCTTGCTAAAATCAGTGAAATTTATGTCACTAGCAGCAAGCATATGCAAAACTGGGTCTGCTTGATTTCTGTTATACCAAGCATGTGATAACCCAGAAGAGGGTCATAGGTGTGGAAGTATTGTAACTGTTTACTTGTGGACTGAATATTGTCCCTTGGAGTTGGTTCTGCAATCGTTGGGCCAAGGTCTCCTGATTCTTGTACTCATCCTACAAAATAATTTTAAAAAAAAATGTCATTAAATGGCCAGAGGTGCTTTATCTAAAATTAAAAGCCTCAGTCACATACAACATAATTATTAAGCAGACAAACCTCTGAAGCGGCATGATTAAACAGTTCTCTTTCCACAATCGTTGTAATACTGTGTACCTTCTGCTGTGCCCCATAAGGAAGACTTGTGGAACTGAGAATAGCAGAACTGGAATAGAATTTAATTTATTAGTTTCAACTCAATCTTATATAAAATTACATGCTTCCAGCGATATTTTAACATCTCTGTTCCTAAATTTTGGAAAATAATACAAATGCATGCTGATGAGAAAACTAAAATTACTTACATATTCCTTTTTATTAAATTTCGCAAATTGTTGATTCCCGCTCTTTTGTGCCAGTCAGTGGAATGGCCAGCTTGATTTCTTAAATATAGATTGTAATCTGAGGCATGCATCTTCTATGAATTAGCAGAAACCAGAAGATGCCCGCCCTACAAAAGGAAATTATTATCATCACAGGTTGGTATAGCCACCACAAATGCTTAAAAACTTTTAATTACAACTTAACAGACACAAGATTAGATAATCATAAGTTGAAGAGAATCGATTCAGGTTGTATTTATATTAATACCCACTAAAACCAACTAAACAGCATCTACCATTCTCAGGTGTCTTGACCCTAGACCATCTTCCTTCTAGTAACAGATTTATATGTACAGGGTAGCAGGTGATCAATAAGAAGCAAACATTTCTCTGCAGCTCCAAACTCATTTTATGTGACTACTCGAAAGTTCTAAGCATGCAGAAATGACAAAAACACTAAGGCAATTTCTAAATCAGTTTTCACATCTTAGTCTGTCTCCTCAAACGAAACCATCCCCAAATCCGTCTATAGTAGGATTTATGAGCTCTGTATCTAAAGCAGACGCGAGCTTTAACAGTGGTCCAAGATAAGATTTTTACTTCAGCATGCGACAGCAGCTTCAACATTTGCTACATATATGAAGTCATATTATTATTACCGAACTTTTGAATCACCGAATGAACAATGAATAATAAAAAAGAAATACCCTTGTTACCGCACATCACTGTAAGGTTACTAAATTTTTTTTTTTGGGCCAAAAAGGTCACTAAATATGAAACGCCCGTTTCTTTCATCCTATTTCAAAAATGTCAATACGTATAGTGAATGAGCCACTGAAGTGGTCGCCACCTTCATTTTTTTGCTTTACAAATTACAACTACTAACTATTCAATATCTAATGTTTGATACTACAAAATAAGCATTTGGCTTCAAATAAATAAATGATAGCTCTTCTAGAATAACTTTTTTCTATCTCAAATGAGAACTTATTTAAGGGTTATTAAATTCCTTAATACTTGACCCAGCCCTGTCTCAAATGAGAACTTATTTAAGGGTTATTAAATTCCTTAATACTTGACCCAGCCCCACCTGAATTCTTTAAACACTCTCATCCGCACTACTTGCGTGCACTAATACTTAACCCGGTTCAAGTTAAAAACACTGAATTATTCAAAATATTAATTCAGCATTCTTAATTGTTTTTGGAGCTGCAAAAGCAGACATTCCTTTAAAGTTGAACCCTGTAATTCAGCGGGCCCAAAAGAAGGATCCTCTAATTAGGTTTAATTTGTCTTACTTAGGTCACAGTCACGGAAGTAAAACGGGAAATCACATGGACAAAGAAATGCCATTGAATTAAAATTAGGGTTTGGAATTAGTAACTAGAAACGTCAACAGGAAGGAAGATGGAAACAACTTAAGAAAACTAATACAGAGAAGATGCGGTATAATGCAGGGAAGAAAGAATATGGCTTAAGGAAGGCACCGTGATCAAGAAAATTACGTTGAAAGGGTCATAATTAAACCCAAAAATTGCGCAAAGAAAATAGTTGTATTTAATAAAGGATTAAGGTGCACCCAGCACCTCGAACTATTTTTCCAGGTACACCCAGTGTCCTAAAGTAATTTTTGGTGCATCAAGTATCCCAAACTAATTAAAACGGTGCATCCATATCCCCGGCTAACAGAAAAGTTAAGTTTGACCGTTATTTGCTGACTCAGCCGAAGGTTGACCGACGTAGCGGACACGTAGGCGTCTGATGTGTATTATTTTGACAAGCCAAGGTGCGCCCAGCACCCTGAACTATTTTTCCAGGTGCACCCAGTGTCCTAAAGTAATTTTTTATGTATCCAGTGTTCCAAATTAATTAAAACGGTACGTCCGCATCCCAGACTAATAGAAAAGTCTTGTTTGACTGTTACCTTACTAACTCAACTGAAGATTGACAGAAAAATCTTACATGGTGGACACACAGATGTCTGATGTGTATATTTCGACTAAAGCTCCCAAGACGAGGGTGTTTTTTCAGAAGGCGATGACTATGTCAATGAAGTGACCGGGGGAAAGTTCACTGTGTTATAGGAGGAAGAAAACAAACGCGAGTCGGATGAGAGTTGATAGAGACGGAGATGGAAGTGTGTGGTGGAAGAAATGAGATAAAATCTTAAAGATGAGGATGTGATTGAATGGGTGGTACATCTACCAAGATTTAAAAGGGTGGATCAGTGGTCTTTCTTTTTTTTAATTTTTAAAACTAGGAGAAGATAAATGTTAGAAGAGGAGGAAATAAATTGAATTTTCAGTCAAAATAATACACATCAGATACCTGTGTGTCCGCCATCTAGGATTTTTCAGTCAACTTTCAGCTGAGTTAGTAGGTAACAGTCAACGAATTTTTCTGTTAGCTTGGGATGTGGGTGTACTGTTTTAATTAGTTTGAGATACTAGATACACAAAAAATATTTTAGGACACTGGACGCACCTGAAAAAATAATTTGGGGTGTTGGACGCACCTAAAAAAATAATTCAGGGTACTGAGCGCACCTTGACTCGTTAAAATAATACACATCAGATGCCTACATGTCTGCCACGTCAGTCAACCTT